TCTCTCTCTCTCTCTCTCTCTCTCTCTCTCTCTCTCTCTCTCTCTCTCTCTCTCTCTCTCTCTCTCTCTCTCTCTCTCTCTCTCTCTTTCGTTCTTTTTTTCTTTCACCAATTTGATCATCACCTCTGTCTGTCTGTCTGTCTGTCTGTCTGTCTGTCTCATTCCCTCGTGTTCTCTCTCTCGTTCTTTATTTTTCTTTCCAGATATTGGACTGATCAGAACAGATACTACACTTCATCTATTTTAGACAAAAGACGGAGAAAGGTATTTCTCTCCTCCTCCTTCTCTCTCTTTTTCTTCCTTGTTTCCTCTCCTTGGTCGCTGTCTGTTTGTCTGTCTGTCTGTCTGTCTGTCTCTGTCTGTCTGTCTGTCTGTCTGTCTGTCTGTCTGTCTGTCTGTCTGTCTGTCTGTCTCTCTCTCTCTCTTTCTCTCTCTGTCTCTCTCTGTCCCTCCTGTTCTCTCTTTCTTTCTTCTCTCTCTTTTTCTTCCTTGTTTCCTCTCCTTTTTGTGTAGTCTGGTTATCTTGGTTCTCTCTCCTGGGTCTTCACTCGTGTTTGATTTCGAAACGGATGCGCGTGCTAACAACACCCCCCCCCCCTCGCCCTCATTGTCATCAACACGAATGTTTCATGCTATCGTCTTCCACCAAATAGAACGTATGGTCATTATCCCTGTATCTAGACTGAAAGTTGCTCCAAATACAGCCATAATGACCGAACGCTCTATTCGGTGGATGGTGGTAAGATCAACCCTATCCTTGTTGGACTGTCCTCATCTTCAACGCATACGGGGTAGGAACTCTTTTCCCGCCCAATAGAACGTCCGGTCACTATGTTGACCCCACTATAGGGGGTCACTATGGCGACCCCCTTATAGGGGGTCAATTTGGCGACCCCCTTATCTAGACTGAATGAAAGTTTGCCTCAAATACTCCCCTAATGACCGAACAGCGCCATCGTTATGGGATCGCTGCCCAGAAGGACTGTAAATAATATACCCAAGTTCGAATCGTACACGTGGCATCGTTAGGAGAGCTGTTGGAAATACAGACCCAAGTTTGAATCCAGCTCCGAGCAGATG